GAATAAGTTCAAGTACTATAATTATAATATAATTAATTAAAATTAGTTAATATACTCCAGAAGTAATTTTTTATTTGAAATTATCAATAAAATTTTAATAACAATAATAAAACAAAAATTCGGTTTAGTTTTAAAAAAATAGTAAATAAATTTTTATTGAGAAAATAAAAGTTTGTGTTTTTAATTGTTGTATCGTATAATTGTTTAAACAAATATATTGAACTTATTGATAGAAGTATCACAGATTTTAAAATTAACGTTTAATTAGATAACAATTTATAATTAATTATAATATAATTATCATTCATAATAATCAAAATTAATAATAAAAACAATTATTAAATATATTATATATTTGAAAATTTATTATTAATATAAACATTCATATTTTAATAATAAAAACCACCAAATTACGAGTGAATTTTTGTTCTAAAAACTGAATAAATTAATTATTTGAATTAATAAAATAATATTAAAATTTTTATTTGAAGTTTTAAAAAAATATATCTTTTAATATATTTTTACAAACAGAAACCATTTTTGTATGAACTATTCTCAAAAATTAAAATGTTTTTAATTAAAAAGTAAATATAAAAATAAAAAATTAAACTTTGTATTATAACTTTTCAATTAAATACACATTTGGGTTCTATTTAAGTTTTAAAATTGTTAACTATAAAATACGAAACACAAACTTAAATGTATTTATTAGTAGGAAACAATATAAATACAAGCAATAATAAACTTTATTTATAATTCAACAAAATACATTTACATTATTTTGTTTTAAAATGTTGAATACAAAAACGGCATTCATTAAATAAAAATTGTTATGCAATTAACACCTAAACACACAATGAATTATTAAACACTTAATAAGTGCTTTAATCATCATTGAAGTGTCCCACTCTCGTACAACACGGCATTGAATCTCCACAACAGTTGCAATACTGTGTGTATGAACGAATTTTCCCAGAAGAGTCTCTGCCACAAGTGTCACATAAAAAGTCACCACAACATTGACATCTGTTGTTCTCTATGTTGTGGCAATACTGACAAAGGGTTGTGGATTCTTTAGCATCCATTGTTTATTTTTTAGTTTTATATTTTTTGGAAGGGGTGTATTACAATTTATAAGATATGGTGTAATTTGAATATAATAAAAAGATATTGTTTGCCACTTAATAATTATTATCATAATAACTCTTTGTTTTTTGTTATTGTTTTTTATTATTATTTATCCATGGGATAAAAACTTCATTTTTTGTTTTGAAAAACAACTAAAACAACGAAAGATGATGTTATATATTTAATTCAAAAATATTTACAATTAAAAAATTAAAAAGGTGAGTATGCTATGTAATAAATTTTAAATGGCAAATAATATAATGTTAATATTTTTAGTTTTTTATAATAACCTTTTGTAAAACAAAAAATAAAAAACGGGAATAAATATATATTACTATAAATAGTTAATTTTATTATTACTAATTAAGATGTTTGTTAAATTGTAATTATCAATGTTAAATAAATTATTTTATAAAATTTCAACAAAATTTGAGTAAAAACGAATTGGTTATTTTTAGTAGAGATAGACCCATCCATGGAAACAACTGTGATAAAGTTCAAAATTTGTCATTTCAAGAACGAGTAAGTACCAACCTGGGAGAGTGACAGCTTCCTCAACTTTGCCAGTAACTCTTAACCGTTTTAGTCCTTTTGTTGTACAACCTCCTACTATTGTATCACAGACATATGCATCTTCGTATTGGTAAGAAGCAATGAACAGTGAACCCCAATAGTATTCAACATGCCACTTGAGAACGACATGGTCATGTGGTTGTAATATTTCAAAGACAATTGTGTAATTTGTAAATTCTCTTTCAGCTGGCTTTTCAAATTCCACCACAGTCACATTAAAATCCAAGTTGACGGTCTTATCTTCACAAAAAGTCATATTAATAATTCCAGGGTCAGCATAGCAGTAAGCAAGAAGTAAAGCAATAAAGAACATTTGAATTTGATTTTAAGTTGTGAAAATGGTTTATCTAAAAAAATAGAGGTCAGTTTGTTAAATGTTTTTCGGTCTTTTGAAAAGTTATTCATTTTTATCAATCCATAATTTTAATGAATTAATAATGTAATAAATAATAAACAACAAATAATAAATATCAATTAATTGAGTATTTTATTTTTTTCAAACAACTTTTGATGGTTGTTAGCTGATCATAAACAACAAACGTAACAAAATACAAATAACATATTATTGTATTACACGAGTAGTTGATTAATTTGTTATAATTGACTATTTTTGTTGTGTATTTTTGCCAAAAATTGAATAAAAACGAATTGGTTAATTTTAATAGAGATAGACCCATCCATGGAAGCAACTGTGAAAAAGTTTGTGGTCTGTCATTTCTAGCACAAGCAAGTACCAACCAGGAAGAGTGACACTTTCCTTAATAATACCAATGGCTTTCATCTGTTTTGGTCCTTTTTCTGAACATTGACCTTTTATTGAAGAACAAACCATTTCATCATCGTATTGGTGAGAAGCGATATAAAGTGAACCCCAATAGTATTCAACGTGCCATTTAAGAATAACATCTTCATGTGGTTGTAAAATATCAAATTTAATTGTATAAACTGTTCGTTCTCTTTCAGCTGGTTTTTCAAATTCTACCACAGTCACATTAAAATCTAAGTTGACTATCTTGTCTTCACAGTAGGTCATATCAATAATTCCAGGGTCAGCATAGCAGTAAGCAAGAAGTAAAGCAATGAAGAACATTTGAATTTGATTTTCAGTTGTGAAAATGGCCTATATGTATAGGTTTGAACTTTTTTGTTAAATGTTTTTCGATCTTTTGAAAAGTTATTCATTTTTATCAATCAACAATTTAGATATTATAAAATACAAACAAAAAATTAAGTAATATCATTTTTGTTTCAAATAATTTTTGATGGTTTTAAGCTGATCATAAACAACAAACGAAATGATATACATGTGACAATTTTTCGTTTTAAAAATTATGTTAATAATATTTTTTGATATATATTTTTATTGTATTTTTTGCCAAAATTTGAATAAAAACGAATTGGTTAATTTTAATAGAGATAGACCCATCCATGGAAACAACTGTGATAAAGTTTGTGGTCTGTCATTTCAAGCACAAGCAAGTACCAACCTGGGAGAGTGACACTTTCCTTAATAATACCAATGGCTTTCATCTGTTTTGGTCCTTTTGTGGAACAACCTCCTACTATTGTACTACAGACCATTTCATCATCGTATTGGTAAGAAGCAATGAATAGTGAACCCCAATAGTATTCAACATGCCACTTGAGAACAACATCTTCATGTGGTTGTAAAATATCAAATTTAATTGTATAAACTGTTCGTTCTCTTTCAGCTGGCTTTTCAAATTCCACCACAGTCACATTAAAATCCAAGTTGACGGTCTTATCTTCACAGTAGGTCATATCAATAATTCCTGGGTCAGCATAGCAGTAAGCAAGAAGTAAAGCAATGAAGAACATTTGAATTTGATTCCAAGTTGTGGAAAGTAGTTTATATGAAGAGGTGTGAGGTTGTATGTTAAATGATTTCTGTCTTTTGAAAAGTTATTCAATTTTAGATTAATAATCCAAATTAATAAACAGAGAACAACTTTGTTAATACATATTAAATCATCAAATATTCAAAAAGTTAATTTGAACCAATTTCATTTGTTTTTTGAAGTTAAAAAGTTATTATCATCAAAAATTTAAATGTTATACTTTTTTCATGAAATATTTTAAAACAACTTTGAAAATATAAGGGATTCCATTGTTTTGTTTTATTACAATTTTCTGTTTTCAACTTTTGACATAACAATTGAATTTTGATATTACAACAATCGTTATTAATAACATTTCAATGTATTAATCGTTTGATAATTGATTTAAATGTTATGGAAGAAATTAACGAACAATAAAAAACAATGAATTAAAAAATAATTATTAAATATAATAAAATAATTTAATAACAAAATATTATAAATAAAAATTAAAAGAGATAGACCCATCCATGGAAGCAACTGTTATAAAGGTTGTTGTCAGTCATTTCAAGCACGAGAGAGTACCAACCTGGGAGAGTGACACTTTCTTTAATATAACCAATCTCCTTCATTTGATTTGGTCCAAGTTTTGTAGGACAACCTCCCTCGATTGCAATACATACATCTCGATCGTCGTATTGGTAAGAAGAGATGTAAAGTGAACCCCAATAGTATTCAACGTGCCACTTGAGAACAAGATCTGTATGTGGTTTTATTACTTCCATATAAATTGTATAATTTGTTCGAATTCTTTCAGCTGGTTTTTGGTATTCAACTTTCATGATATCTATATCCAAGTTGACTGGTTTATCTGGACAGAATTTCATATCAATTATTCCAGGGTCAGCAGAGCAAAAAGCAAGAAGTAAAGCAATAAAGAACATTTGAATATAATTTGAGTTGTAATATATGTTTATATTTTAAAAATTGGTTAATTTTACCAAAAGTTGTAATAATTTGTAAAAAATAGTGTATCATATGTTCATAATTAATTATTTCATATAAAAATGTTTTAAAAAGTTTAAATTGGTCTTGCTGAAAAAAGAAAATTACTTTAAAAATAAACAATTTTAAGAAATTTGGAGAATTCAAATAAGTTAAAAAAATATATTATCTTTTTATTTAATGTTTCAACAATATTTTTGATAAAAAAATATATATCAGAAGTAATTAAGATTAACTTAAAATCCAAAGAATTCTCAATTATGTTGTTGTTATGACATTTGATATATAAATATAATGAACTAAAAAAATATAATGTTTATTGTTTATTTAAAATATTATTAAATTGGGTTTTACTTTCAAAACATCAATAATAACAATAAAATTTCTGATTTAGTAAAGATAAATCCACCCATTATAACAACTTTTATACTCTTTGAAATTGGTCATTCTAATTATCAAAAGGTACCACCCTGGGAGTGTAAATATTTCTTTGATTCTGCCGTAGGCCGTAAAATAGTTAGGTCCAAGTTTCATAGGACATCCTCCTTCAATTTCGGGACACAACGAAACATCTTTGTAACCATATGTAGCAATATAAAGTGTACCCCAGTAATATTCAACATTCCAAGTCAAGTACAAATGATCATGAGAGACATTTGCTGTAACATTAAACTTATAAAGAGTTTCTTCTCTGTACGGGTACTTATCACTATAAATCTGAGTGATAAGAATATCATTACTTATATGTTCTTTGGGACAAGGAGATAATTTTATAAATCCCGGATCAGCTCTGGATAATGCAAATAAAACACAAATTAGTATCATAGAATCGTAATATGTTTTGTAGATTTCTTGTAATTTTTTTTAATAATAATAACTAACATATTAATTTTAACATTAAATATCAATAAACACAATAACAATTACATGTTTAATATAAAAAACAATTATACATTCGAAAAGTGTTAATAATAATAAAATTGATTTAGTAAAGATAAATCCACCCATTATAACAACTTCTATATTCTTCAAAATTGGTCATTCTGACTTTCAAAAAGTACCACCCAGGGAGTGTAACAGATTCTTCAATGCTTCCATGAGCTGAAAAATAGTTTGGTCCAAGTCTCATTGGACATCCTCCTTCCAATAACGGACATAAAGAAACTTCTTTGTAACTATACGAAGAAATATAGAGAGTACCCCAGTAGTATTCGACATCCCAAGTTAAAAACAGATTATCAATTGACTTTTTGGCAGTAATATTGAACATGTAGTTTGTATCCTCTCTATATGGGAACTGATCAAATGATAGCTGAGTGATTTCGATATCATTATTGATGGGTTCCTCGGAGCAAGGAGTCACTTCAATAATGCCGGGAGCAGCTCTGGATAATGCAAGTAAAACACAAATAAATAACATCAAATGATATTATAAAGTTTAACAATAACTTAAATTCTAAAAATTTAACTCACATCTTTGTTTTAACATAAAAATAATTAACAACATTTCAAAAATGTTAAAAGCGTTTTAATACTTTTATATTTTATTTTTGTCGGTAATAACAATTGATTTTTTAATTGAAATGTTATAAAATATATCAGAATGTTTAAAAAAGTAATAGAAATATAACTTCAAAAACTATTGTTAAAAAACAATTAAACTTTTAATATGGGTACTTATATGTCACTTGTACCAACTTTTTTAGACCATATATTTGATATATTTATATATATAAATATTTGACAAAAAAAGATTTTGAAGTCTTTAATTTTTTGACCAATTTTGTAGGTACTATAACCCAAAAAAATATAACAAAACAATTATTTAATATTTAAAAAGGTTGAGTCAAGTTATTTCCCATAGACAAATATATTTTTTATTTTTAAAAGTTGAAGTTTACAAAATTTGAGATACTCAAATGAAACACTGATAACAAATCAAATAAAAATAAATCAATATAGATAAATCCATCCTTGATAGCATCCAAATTCCTCGATTAAAGTAGAAAAATGAATATTAAGGAGATACCATCCGGCAAGTGCAACATCTTTTACTTTAGCTTCTGCTGAAAATCCATACTCACCAATAGTCAATGGGCATCCCATAGGAACTTTACCGCATAAATCAACATCTTCATATCCATAAGAGGCTATATAAAGTGTTCCCCAATAATACTCCAAAAACCAAGTCATTGTTGCTTTTTCGGTTGGAATGGTGACATTTATCTTAAACATGTAAGTTGTGTCATCTAAATATGGGTATTGATCATATTCCAATTTATTTATTAGAATCGAAGGAGTGTAATGTATATCAGGACATTGTTTGACATCAATAGTACCTGGTTGAGCATAGGTAGTTGCGAATATCAGAACACACAAAAACATCATTTGTAAAAAATCAGATTTATCACCTTTTTATTTTTGGTTGATTTTCCATATAAGTTTATGTAATTGTTTTTTTGGCAAATTTATATTTTCAAAATAATAACTTCTCAATTTTTTCATTTTATTCTTTTTAATATTTCAAGTGTTTTAAACACCATAAAAAAATAATGTGTTTAATATTTTGACAAATAATTTGACTTTTGTTTTATTTTTAAATTTTATTTTTTTTGTTTTTGTTGAAACATTATTCAATCTTTTAATAACAATTTATCAAAACGATGTTATCTAATTAACATGTTGATCATTTTTCTTGATAATTATATACAATTACATTTCATTTATTATCAATTTTAATACTTTTTAATAAATTAATATTTAATTAAAACGAACTTTAGTAATTTGTAGTATATTATTTAAAAAAAATCAATTTGTTTTATTATTTTCTTTATCTAATTTTAATGACTTTGTTTTGTTCAATTTATAATTCCTTTAAATTTGAATAAATGTAATAATTGAATTACCATATTTATTGTCTTGGTGGAGCACTGGTACTTCTTCTTCCACGTCTGATAGCCCCAGTACGTGTAGGTGGTTGTGGACTTTGACTGCGTCTTCTTCTTACGGCTCCGGTTCTTGTTAATCCTCTTTCCGACCCATACATACTCAACGAATATTGACTCACTGGAGCAAAATCTCCAGGATTCTCAACAACACCAAATTCTACTCCATTTTTCAAATTGGCTGAAGTAACTTCTGTTGCAAATTTGGAAACAAGTTGATAAGCATTTTGAAGCATTGTGACTCCTCCAAATGTTGTTCTTCTCAGCAACATTTCTGCAAGCTTTTCCAATATTTCAAATAGAGATTTGGGCAACAAAACTTGCTGCATCAAAGTGTGTTTGATACCGGCTTCAACTCGTCTTGATTGTTTAATATCATTCAAAACTGATTTGTGATCAAAAAAATAATGCCAATGTCGACTGGGGTGTGGGTCTTTTGTAAAAGCAGTGGTTAATGCTTGGGATACACTTTCTATATCAGCATATCGAATCCTTCTGGTTGTAATCATTCGTTCAAGAGAACCCAAAACTCTTTCAAATTCGTCAATAAGCCCTTCCAAATAAGAAATAAACAATGTAAGACCAGGGAAGTAAGTGTGTAATCTTGTTTTTGCAATTTTTAAATTGCCAATAAATAGATTTCCTTGTTCTCTTAAAACGTGCATCTGCAGTAGCACATCATCTTCGACATCATATTGTAGATTTCTTTGATATTCTGGTTGATCGTCAAAATCTTCAAAATCGTCGTACAAAGACAAAGAAGCTGACATACATAAAGTGGTTATTCCAAGAATTAATAATAACATAAAGATAATAGAGTTTATTTTCTTTTTGTACCTCAATCGAATTAATAATTATCAACGTAAAAAATGTCTTGTATTCCTCTATTTCTGAATTATTATATTATTATCATTTCATTTGTTATTAATAATAAAACAATTAATTTTAATAAGGTTATTTGTAAACAAAACATGGCTTTTTACCTCAAAAACAAATTTATAAATAAATGAAAAGTAATTAAATTTTAATTTTTTAAACCAAATAGTTTTAAGCTTTTTGTCATCAAATTTTTAAGTTTTACATATTCAACAATACGCCAACATTGTCCAGTTATATGATACACGTTTATATTTTATTTTTTGTTGTGCTGTTTAACAAATTGTATTTTATACTGTAATATCTTTAACTGTGGTTAAATTATTTTTACTAATCATTTAAAAAAACAACAATCTTAACAACAATAAAAATCCCAATGTTTATTTATCTTCGTCTTCTAAAACTTTGAAACATTCTACTAAAGATGTTTCTACTTTCTATTTCATCGTAAATGGGATCTTCATTATCATCTCTACGAGTATAAGTAAGTAAATTTTTACCTTTTGCACGTTTTACTGCAATTTCTCTTGGTGTTTCGGGAAGTGGTCTATTTGCCAAGAATTTCTTTTCTTGTGCTGTTCTTCTTATACTCAATCTTGGATCTCTTCTTTTTCTGTACATTTCTAAAGTAATTTTCGACATGTCAAATCGTTCTTTGTCTTCTGAAATACCAAACTTCCTTTCAATGTCTTCTTCATTTGATTCAACAAATCTGATAAAGAATTCGATATTTTTCAAAGCATCTTTTAATTTTTGTTCTTGTTTGAAAATCATTACATGTTCTAATAAAAGTAGCAAACTCTTAATTTTTTCAAATAAAGTTGTTGGCAGAACAAATTGTAATATAAATCTATCTTTGTGTATTATTTGATGTGAAGACATGACTTGTTCAATCATATGCTTTGTTTTGTGTAAAAAGTGCCAATGGTGACTTTCTTCTTTACGACTTTGATATGCGTTTGATATTAGATCACATAATATTAACAGATCATTCTTTTCAACTGAGTTTTTCTTTCTCATGAGTTCAACAATTGACAATATAGATTCCATTTCTCTTTTCATCCCTACGACAGCATCTAAAAATCTTTTGTTTGTTATTTCAAAGTTTCTTCTCAATTTGTTCCATAATACATGAAGTGTCTCCCTAAATTCTTCTCCTTGATCTTCAATCACCATAATCAACAACCGAATGTTATCTTCTAGTGGAATTGAATCAGTAGAAAACTCTTGAGGTGATTCTTCAAACTCAAAATCATCATCCAGATACATATAACCACATGAGAAGGAGATGATTAGAAAGACAGTCACAATCATGACAATGACCTTTTACAGTTGCTTTTAATATGAAAAGTTGGTTTTCAATACACAAGGAAGTTTATCCTTAACTTAACACACACACAAATTAAAATTATATGTTTTTCTTGTTTTTCAATCTTAATAATTAGTTGGACTTGTTGACCACCACAAATAAAACAAATTGTTTGAAAAAAAAATAATTAAAAACTTTTTGAATATAATCTCCCCCTTTTTTCACTCTTTTCTTTTTCTTCAATATCTTTTTGTTTCAAACTCTCTCGAGACGTTAATGACTTGGATCTTCTTAATGGTTTCTGGTTAGCTTTATCGAATGAACACTCTTTTAAAAGATCTTGAAATCCTTCATTGATACCAAACTCACTCTCTATTTCAGACAACTCAATTTCAAGTCGATTCACAAACCTTTCCAACTTCTTTTTTATATTTCTCTGTCTCAAATTCAATAGTGATGTAAATTGTGTCTTCATATCTTTGAAAAAACTCGCAAATTTGATAAAGAATGTTTTTGGTATTAACATCTGAAGTTTAAGAGAAGACTTGTATGTGTCTTTTAATTTGGATTCTTCTACGTTTTTCAACATCCTTTTCATATTTAAAAGTAATTTCCAAAATAGATTATTCTCATCTTTATCATTTAAAGATATATCAATGAAAGTGGAGAGTTCTTCAAATTGTGCTTTTGTTATTTTTCTTTTGATCAACATCTCATCCACAAGAAGTAATAGTCGTTGCACTTCTCCTTTGACATTTTCCAAAAGTCTAACAAAATCCAAATCGTAAATTTCAGAAAACCTCCTTAATCTATTTGCAACTGTATTCAATAATAACATCCAACAATTTCCTTTTGATTGAATTGTATTTAATTCTTCTAATGATCTTTCGGTTAAAGTAATTTCGGTTGGTGAACTATTGACACGATACAAAAATAACACAACAATCATCAACATAATGAACTGCCTAGTTTTATCAATTTAAAGTTAATAACTTCACTACAAATTTAAATTTTGGTGGTTTCTTTGTTTTTTCCATTTGAATTTTTCAGGAAACAAAACAAATAAAAAAATTTAAAATCAAAAATGGTTTAATTTTCCTTTTTTCTATGAAAATCTTTTCTTTGGATAAGAATTGGTTTCGAGTACAACATCATCAAACACTGGCATTTTGAACTGTCTTCCTGGTCTTCTATTTTTTGGTGTTTCATATATTGGGAATGGTCTTCTTTGTGTGGGTGGAGTATGAAGAGCTGTTCTTGTTTGAGACAGACGTGGCGATTCAGGAAGTTGTTGTTGTGGAATTCTTTGTCTTGGAGCTGGCACTGGTGGAGTTCGTGGGGGTGGAGGTGGGGTGAAACTTGGAACAGAAGTTTTGTAACTGCCACTACCAGAAGAAGAGAAAGAAGCAATTTGAGGATTTCTTCTGAAATTGTCAATATCAACAGATCTGTGGAACTGGTTTTGTCTCTGTTCAAGAATGTCTTTATCGGCAACTGCATTCTCATGGGCGCTTTTTATTCTTTGAATGTATTCTTTTAACAATTCAATTGCTCGTCTAAGATGCTGATTAAAAGAAAATTTTTTATCTTTTGAGATTTCTATTAATGTTTTATACATGCAAAGGTAATAAAACTTTGGTACAAATAATAAGGTGTAAAACGTGTTTTTATACCTGTCTTCAATATCAGAATTTTGAACCTTTCTCATCATCATGTTCATATTTCTAAGGTAAAATCCTTGTGGATTTGATGGATTGTCATTCAAAAATATTTTGATCATCAATTTGGAAAGCTCATCGATATCATCTCTCGATGCTTTTTTCTCTTCTTCAAATTTGTCAAAGAATCTCATGAGAGCTTCTTGTTGTTCTCTGACCTTTAAAACAGAATTAGAATACTCATCATCTCTGATCAGATCAAACTTCCTTAATTTGTTGACTAATGAAGTTAAAACAAATAAGTAGTTATCTGCTTTAAGTTTGAGAAGTCCCAAATTGGCATTACCATCTTGAGAGAAATAAATCACATCAATGGGATTACTTCTTACAATAAGTAAAGACAATGCAAGTATTAACAAAGATATCATGAAATAATAAATAAGTTTGTTCTTTTTAATACCATCCCATTTTTTATAAAAACCAAATAAAAAGTGAAAGATATTTTTGAAATTGTGGTTTGATTAGCTCTTTATTTGTTTTTGGTGTTTTCTATGTGTTTTTTGAAAGTACCAAACAAATCATTATATAAATTTAAAAACGATTTAAATTGAATATTAATAAAAAACAATAATGTTCTGTTGTTAAAAATTATTTTAAAAGGGTATGTTTTAAGTTTGTCAAACTTAAACAAAAAAGAATTAAAAAAGCTTTTTCAAATGATATTCTTTAACGATAATTTGTTTTCTATTAGCAATCACATCTTTATATTTAATTAAATTATTATTATTATTAATAAAAATAATATCGATATACAATTAAATATATCATATCGATAAAATAAATATTGTTTTTAAATGAATTTAACATATCCATTAAATGTTAAAATTCAATTGAAAAAATCTTACACAAAATTTTATAGTATTTAAATTTTATTATAATTATATTATAACACTTTTATATATATTATAATTAATTAATTTATTTAATTAAAAAATTGATGTGAATAAAAAAAATAAATTCAAAATCTTTATATTTCGTTTCAAAAACAAATGACTTTAAAATTATAAATAAATTATTATTATTCTATACTTTATTATAACCAAACACGCTGAAATTAGACTCTTTCGAAACCCCCAAAAATACCATTTTATATAAAAATAAACAACATAACTTTTTTTAAAAACTATAATTTATTAAAATTATTAACAAACCTTAAAATAGTATTCCTAATTTTGAATTAAATTTAAAAATAAAACCACCCGAAATATGCATATCAAAGTGGCTAAATATTTTTGATTTTATTTTATTTATATAAAGTTTTTTTTACAGAATCATTGTGTTTTAGGCTTATTTTAGTTTTTTTAATAATAATTAATATTATTAATATTATTTAATAATAATTTTCTATTCAAATATTTTTTTTAAAAACAAGAACCAAACAAAAATAGAAAATTTAATTATAATATTTGAACAGTTAAAAAAGGTTGACAAATTGGGAGTGTCGAAAATCACAGTTCATATTATTTGTATTATTTTTAGTAACTGTAAAAGGCATAATGATTATACTAATAGAGTTTCTCTTCTTTCTGCAATATGCACTTTCAAAAACGAAATATCAATCTTCAGAGTCCGAATTACCTCCAGCAAACGACAATGAAACTCAATGTAAAGACAACCAATATTTATCAAACGGAATTTGTATGAATTGTGATTTATCGTGTAAAAATAGTTTTTGCAGTCCAGATGGTACTTGTCTTGATTGTGAAAAAGGGTATTTTGTGAGTAAAAAACAGTGTTCTGAATGTGCCACAGTCATTAGTAATTGTGATTTTTGCGCTTCAAGTGTTTTTGGTGTAAATTGTTTGAAATGCAAAGAAAATTACTATATGTCAAATGGAGAGTGTAAACCATTTTCAACTTGTTTTGGAAATAAAACACAAACTACATGTGATTGTGACAATAATATAGCTATTAATACAAACTGTTTTGAGTCTGTTGGTAATTGCAAGTATTCCAAATTTAGACAGAATGGGACAGAGTGTTTAAATTGCATCAACAATTTCGAAAATACAAAAAATGGTCTTGTGGATAGAGGATGTGTTTTAAATAATAACGTTTTGTTGATGAATAACGTTATTTATAATTGTATGAATGGTCAATTTTTAAATCAAAATAATCAATGTGAAAACTGTGGAGAAATGGAATTGTGCTTTTTTAGTGATAACACAATTAAAGCTATTCAATGTAAAATGAACTCGGTAATTGATCTTAGAGAAAATAAGTGCCAAATAGACGAAAATTGTGTAAGATATAATAAAGGAGAGTGTATTTTATGTAAAAATGAAAGTGAAGAAATTGTGAATGGAAAATGTGAAAAATGCAAAGTTAATAATTGTAAATATTGTGTAGGAACAAAATGTTTGCGATGTGAAAATGACTTTCTTTTGACAAACGAAAATACATGTCAATATAAAAATAATGTACATTGTGATAACACAAGTCGTTTTGGTTGTACACTGTGTCATTCTGGATACACAAGAACAGAAGAAAGTGAAGAAGAAAATCGAATTTTTTGTATAGAAAACAGTGAAAATTTGGTTTGCGATAGATTTAATGGAAGTTGGTGTTTTGAGTGTAAAATTGGGTTTTATTCGAAAAGAGGAGTTTGTCAACAAATTCCACAAAACATGAAAACAATATCACACAATTTATTATTTAGAACAAATTTCATCTCTTTATCCACACACAAAAAGAGTCAAAAAATAAACCAAAATTCAAAACATTTAAATAACATCATTTTTGATAAAATGAATTGTAAAACAAGAAAAAATGATAACGAAGACAATTGTTATGAATTTGATACAAAAGGGTGTTTAAGGTGTAAAGATGGGCATTTCATGGTATTTACAGAAAGTGAAAACAAATGTTTTCAATGTGACAAAAAGTGTAAAACATGTCAAACTATAAATAAATGTTTGACGTGTGACAATGGTTTTTATTTGGATTCAAACAGTCAATGTGAAACTTCAACAAAATTGAACTCTACATGTAAAATAGTTATGCCAAATGGTAACGGGTGTTCTGTCTGTAAAGAACGTTTCTATAAAACTGGTAAAGATTGTTTAGCCTGTGACTCATCTTGTTCCACTTGTATTTCAAACACCTTTTGTTTATCTTGTGCATCTAATTACTTTAAAATTACTAACGAAATGTTTATGTGTAAATCATATGATAATTTAACAAATTGTAAAACAAAAAGTGAAAACGGTTGTACAAAATGCGAAGAAAGTTACTTTTTAAATAATTCACGGTGTACTAAATGTTCTGATAATTGTCTAATTTGTGAATCATCAAACCAATGTAAAAACTGTACCAATAATTATCTATTAATAGAAAATAGATGTGTTCACTTTTCACAAATCACTTTTTGTATTGAATCAAAAAACTCCGTGTGTTCAAAATGTTCAATAAATCGAAAGCCAAATTTAGACGGCAGTTCTTGTGTGTTTTCAATGAATATTGGTTTTGTTATATTAATTGTCATAAATGTTCTAATTTTAGCAATTACATTAAGTATTGCAAGTTATTTCTACATACTACACATTTTAAGAAAAAGGAAAAGAAAAGAGGAAACCAAAGGAATTTGTATTTATAAAATGAAAAACTCTAACAACAAAATGTCTTATAAAATTGCTAATTCACTTGTTACAAACAAAAAAGTAGTCAAATTTGATTTTGATAATCTAAACAAAATGCCAGTTAACGAAGAAAGTCGCGATTTGATTTGTATTGGAAATAATAGTAAACATAAAGTTATTACACAAATTGTAATTCCAGAACACAGAGACCTTTATTTGGCTTGTGTTAAACCACAAATTGTGATTTTAAAAAGAGGAAAAGCCTGTGAGTTTGAAATTTATTTAAAGCCAAAATGCTCTTTTGATGAAACAATAAATTTTATTGTAACTGCCATCGACTCAAAAAGTAAAAAGCAGAAAAGTGAAATTCTTCAAATAGAAATTTCTTGTGAAAAATCAAATCGTCTTGATTTGAGAAAAATTGAAATTCAAAATAAAATAGGTGAAGGCTCTTTTGGAGTTGTTTACAAAGGCCAATTTGAAGGGAATGATGTTGCAATTAAAAAGTTACGAAATATAGAAATGAATACCAAAAGTTTTAAAGATTTTGAAGATGAAGTTTCGATGTTAGACAAATTTCGCTGTGATTACATTGTCCACTTCTATGGCGCCGTTTTCATTCCAAACAAAGTGTGTATGGTCACCGAATTTGCTAAATTTGGCTCACTCGAAAATTTAATTTTTGGGAACAAAAGACGGTGTAAAATTCAAACCCATTCCAAAATAGAAAAAATGTGCAAACAGTTGAAAATAAAAATATTATTAGACAGCGCAAAGGGATTATTTTATTTACACTCGAATGGGATATTACACAGAGACATAAAACCGGATAACATTTTGATATTTTCACTTGAAAAAAATATTATTTTTAATGCGAAATTGACTGATTTTGGGTCATCAAGAAATGTCAATATGTTGATGACTAACATGACTTTTACCAAGGGAATTGGCACACCCGTGTATATGGCGCCTGAAGTCTTAAATCAGGAATACTACAAAAAACCAGCTGATATTTATTCATTTGCTATTACTATGTATGAAACGTTTGGGTGGTGTGAGGCATATCCCGACGATGATTTTGTTTATATATGGAAAATAGCCGAATTTGTTATAAATGGAAATCGGGTTCAAAAATTGGAAAATATAACTGAAGAGCAATTTGAGCTTATAGAAAAATGTTGGTCACAAGAAAAAAGTGATCGTCTCAAAATAGAAGAAATAGTTAAAAAACTGGAAATAATGGAGAGGAATACTATATAAATAGTGGATATAAAATGGAATTAATTTATTGTAAATGGTATATTATTCAAGTTTAATTATAAATAATATTATAACTTTTTGTGTATTTTAAGTTAAAAATACTATATTACAAAACAATTTGTGATTTAACAATTTTATAACATTGAAAACAAAGTGGATTAAAACTAGATTTTGTCAGATAATTTTTTTTAAAAGGTAATATTTTGTTTTAATAATAACCAGTATTTTACAAAATGAAATAATAATACAAAAATATCTGTTAGAACAAGAAGAAGGAAAA